GGCAGGAAAGCGGACAACACTGCAGGGCCGTCGTAAATCGCTCCAGCCTTGGCATAAAGCTCGTTCTCCCGGCAGCGCGTGTGATCGCAGCTGGCACGGCTTCTGCCGCCGCCCCCTCCCCGTATCCCCTCCCCAATTAGGAAGGCTTTCCGTCCTTTGGGAAGGGCAGGGAGCCCAGACGGAGGTGCCCCTGTGTGCTGCCCCCACTGAAATACTCTCCTCGCTGCCCCTCCCGCTTGGCATCGCTGCCAAGTCTCATCTCAGTGCTCACGGGAGGGGGCGGGGGGCAACTGCCTCCTGTGCGTGTGGGACAGCAACATGCCCTCCCAATACGGCCAACAACTCTGATGGTCCCAGGTTGATGCTGGCAACCCGGGCCATCTGGCCTACCCTTCCTGCTAGCCCCAGAACGTAGCTGGGGAGGGTGGGAGTCGCAGCCCAACCTCTCAGCATCCCTGCACTGCGCCAGCTTGCTGAAACTGAAATGCCCAGTCTCTGCAAGTTCTCCGGATCAACAGAAACACCTGTTTCAAGGTGGGCACTGCCCGACGCGCCTGCGAGCGTTTTTTGATTCCCTCGGTCTTCCCATCTGTAAGAGGGCAGAATGGGCAGCTCAGGTGAGCAGCTCCCAGATGAATGAACTGTCTTTGACACTTGCAGCGCGTAACCTGGCCCGCCCTCCTCTCCCAACCCCTGCAATTCAACCAAGTTGGCGGACCCAGGTTTCGCCAAGAGCAGCCTCTGAGGACCCAGAGTGGAAGCTGTTTTTTCCCACGCCATCATGAGACGTCATGGGAGGGAAGGAAAGGGGAGGCTGTGGCCACCACCAGCGCCTGTGACTCACCCCCCACTGTTCCCCCCCCCCCCGCGTCTGGACCCGTGTCCCGCCAGAAAGCTGAGCCAGACGCACCAGTCAGCCCCTCTGTGGTGCGGTCAGGGCTGTCTTTCCTCCCTGAGCCAGACCGTGTCTTGGGAACCTACCCACCTCACCAGGCCAGGTGGGGAGAGGAGGGTTGGGGGTTTTCTCATCACCCTCCTGTGCCCCCCCCCGTCTCTGGGCGACTGAAGGGGCCTCCTCCCAGCCTTCGACTCTGGGGAGGGAGAGCAGGCGTGAATGGATGGACCGAGCAGCAGCCCCAGGCCAAAGACCGTGGCTATTTCTGGAAAAGCCCAGAGCTAAGTTTGGCTCGAAGGAAGGCTGGGTGGCTGCGGCTGCAACAGGCCAGGCAGGGGCACACCCCTTGTGTGACTTCTTGCCTGCCAAGCAGCGAAGTGGAGAAAGAGGAAGAGAGCGAGCTGCCAGGACTTCCCAGCACGCCTTCGACGGAGGAAACGGCAGGGCCGAATCGCAAGCAGCCGCCTCGCTTGTCCGTTTGCGCGACGGGGGCAAAGCATGACCAGCACACTGTGACGGGCATGCAAACCTGAGAGGGAAATGAGTCATGGGGAGGAAGTGTGCAAATACCAAGTCTGGCATAGGTTTCTCCAGGGAAAGGTTGGCCAGGGATGCTCTGTGGGTGGCACATGGAGCAATTTGGAGAAGACATTTCACCCTGATGCTCAGGCTATGGGAGATGTTGCCACGGAGCTACGCAGAACCAAAGCCTTTCATGCGCCCTGCTCAAAGACACACTGCACCCCTCACACTCGGTTCACAGCAGTGCCCCAAGCACTGGACCACACGTGCCTAAAGCAAGGCCTCTGCACTGTCCATTTCATAGCCCTCTCGTCGGGTCCGGCCATGTTTTCCTTGCATTGCAAAGATGCGCTCTTTTCACACATCGCATGCTTCCAAGCCCCTCTGTGCACAGCGAGGCCAACCCCACGAGGCCGAGCCCACAAGAGCCCGTCTCTGGCCCTCGGCATTCTGGCTAGATCAGCGTGATGCGAAGGGGTAGCGCATCGCCCTTACAAGTGGGGAGAAGTCCAGGGCCACTGAGTTACGGGTCTGGAGCACCTGCCCTGAAGGGGTCTGGCTGGTTTTCTGTTAAAATGCTTCTCAGGCCAGCTGCTCTTTCTATTTACAATTCCAAATTCCAACTCTGTGGAATTTTTCCAAGCTGAAGGAGGAGGACTCCCGGTGGTTTGGATGTTTTTGCAAATGGTTTCGTCAGACATTTTTCCTTTCTGCCGTCCTCTGCTGTTGCTTTGTTTTCAGCAACAGAGAATATGGCACATAGAGTCAACAATCACAACAAAGCAACAGGGATTCCTTAAATATCTCGTTTCTGCGCCAAACCATAAGTGTCCGCTGCATCTTCACCAACACATGGCCTGCCCTCGCTAAGCTGCCTGCGCGTAGTCCGGGGTTCTGCGCACGCAAGCCACACGTCTTCATGCAACCTCCCTGCACCCTGGAAAACTGGAGAAACATTTGCAGGCACGTAAGGACATTCACCGGTCTACCTGCAGTTCCTGTGTGCCTTGATGTGCACGCAATCTGCACGCCCCATTTCTCCCTTTTCATCACTCACCTACGCACACAAACATCTCAAGATGCTGGGAGCTCCCTCTCCCTCCTCCCCAGCCCATTCACACATTCTCTAATTTAGATCCAGGCGGCCTCCTCTGTTAGGGCTTTTGAGTTCAACCCTGATACAACGC